AAATATATAAATATAAAAGAATAATTACATATACACGTAAGGCAGAACAGAGCAAGCTGTAACGCTTGTTTGCTGGCAAAATATTCCAATATTTCACCTAGTCACTCAAAACACCTGAGTGACCAGGGAAATATCTAATACTATCTATTTATAATGTTATCTATGCTTTTAATCTTTTTCAAAGAAGAAAAATTAGGTAATGTTTTAGATGCCCTTATCAAAAAGCTACAGAGAACATTCTGCCTATCAGTATGACTACATATCTAATAAGTTTGTTTCTTTATAGTATCACTTCACCACTTAAAACTATTCAAAAAAGTAGCAAAAAGGCTCAAGAACAACATAGTTTACTAACTTCAGTACACTTCATGACTTTTCCTTCTCTTTGAAAGTCTCTGCCTTGTGGTACTTTCTCACTCTGAGTTCCTTCCATTGATTTTCCATCAACTGGGCTTAAAATTCTATGGAAGATAACAGTATGGTTAGTAATTAAAACAACATTATATGATTTATATATTAGCAATAGTTCTTGAAGACTATTTAAGCAGCTTCACAGCAAAATGCAATGCAGGACTTGCATCATGAGAACACAGATGCCTCAAAAAGAAGTGTCCTAAACAGGATGTGACACTTAACAAAAACCTTATCTTACAGGTTTAAGAAGCTATAAATATCCTTGGCAAAGCCACTGTTTGTTCTAATTGGTCAGAGAAGCCACAGAAAAATGCATGCCAAGTCAAGTCCGTGGCCTGAGAAACAACTTGAGACAAGTTTTGAGTTAGTAATGTCTAACTGAAGTTTGAAGCTACATAAAGCTACAAGCATTGAAATCACATCCATTAAAGATGCCTTATACCTCATTTTGATCTGCTGAATGCTGGCATTCCAAGCAGTGAATGGCCAAGGACAGTACTACGCACTTCCAAACCTCCTCAGTATGAAGTTTAGAGGGATTAATTGCATTCTCACACAAACTGATTACCGATTTGATCGAGGACTTTCAAAGGAAACTGAGGGTTCACACACTTTCCCCATCAACTTCTCAAACACAGAAAACAGTAATAAATTTTGATGAACCACAAGCAGAATCGTTCTGTTAGTGACATCTAGAGGACTGAAGTTACTTTACCATTCTATCCCCTTTCATATTTTAGTATCAATACTTTCTCTCAATAAAAATACCTTAGATCATTTCAAGAAATTAAAGACAGATATTTGAAAACTGTGCACAAGAACTCTCTAAGATGTTTTGCTTTGGTAATACATTTACCCTTCGTTTGTTTTTTCTTCATTTTCTACCCAGCAAATATCTACATATTCTTTCATGTCTCCTGTATCTGTTTTGCCACAAGTTATTTTAAAGTCCTTCTTGTCTCTTAACGCCTGACGTAGGCTTTCCATCGTTTCTGGTGTTATTTGTACCATTAGTCCATCTAGAAAAAAAACAGTTAAAATTCCAACTTATCTACAGAAAGAGTAGCACAGCTTTTTAGTAGAATCTTGGCTTAAACTCCAGTGGGACCAACCCTCTTCTCATTAATAAATGAACATCAAATGGATGGCATCCCACAACCACCACACTAAATGTTACATGAAAGAGGAAGTAATGAAAACCTTTCTTGGCAATAGAACTAAAACTAGAAGACCAATCTTAGATTAATCTTCAAAGATTTTGCATTTCTGTGCCAGTATGTGTATTTCATCAATATGACAATGAAAGCTGTGGCTGCCCCATCACTGGCAGTGTTCAAGGCCAGGCTGGACACAGGGGCTTGCAGCAACCTAGTGGAAGGTGTCCCTGCCCATGGGAGGGGGTTGGAACTGGACGAGCTTTAAGGTTCCTTCCAACCAAAACTAGTCTGTGATTCTGTGTTTTTAAGCAAGGAGGTGAGCTAGGATGTACTTCTTTTAAATACAGCATTTGTTTGCAGTAGGTTTTCTACAAGGCTAAAAATCCTGAAAATAAAAAGCTTATCTTACTGAGGAACAAAGATCTTAAGATCTTGCACAAAACTGCTGCCCCTTTTTTATTTACGTATTTATTTATTTTTAAGAAACCACATAGAACAAAATTATTACCTTCAACTATACTGGATTTAGCTAAAAATCCCGAAGATGTTTTTAGGGCTCCATTAAACACCACAAAACTTGCACCTGTAACTAGAAGAAGTAGGAACAGAGCGAGTACCATCTCATATCACTCAAGTTTGTCATCACTAACATCTAACTTGCATTCCTTTTTAAAAAAGGTGGGCAAAAAAGGTACCACTAAACTGACAGTGTTAATAAAAATCCCTTACTGACAAAATGCTATGAAATAGAACTAAGGAGAAAAGAATTTTCTCCAATCAGATCTTGGCAACAAAGACCAGCTTTGCTAACTTATTTTGTGAGTGCATACAGTCAACACAGGCAAGACAAAAGAAGTTCTGTATATATAAAAGTTCTGTATATACGGTTGAAGAAAGTGGTAGGATGGGTTTGTTTTATTTTTTTTTGAGTGAGATGGAATGGGGTTTTGTCTTTTAAAAAAGACATGCCACTCAACTTTTAGGTTTATTTACAGAAGGTATTTCTGAAGTTTAGATAATTCCAGTGGTACTAAAAGCAACTGAAAGAAAAGACGACGTAAGTGTACTTCCATGCTACAAACCTTTGCATAAATTTGTTAGTTACACAGCGTGCTTTAAACAAGAACACTATGCTTACAAGGAAGCACAGAAGTTGGCACTGGAGATGTAAGAGTAGAGCCCTACCAGTCAATTGCTGCTTTAGGAATGTGATTTTTCTTCAGAAGCCAGACAGTTTACCTTTCCTGGGATGTCCAGTAGCACTGATTGCTTGTGTGTGATAAAGGCCATGCTTATTCTGCACACACACTAAGTGAGAATCTGCTTCAGTATTAAAACTTGCTCCAATACTAATTACATGTTCATTAGAAGAATTTATCACCTTCATTACCTGTTGATACAAAATCTGTCATTAAACTAACAAATCTCACTTTACAGTACTCATTTCTAAATACAAGACATAAGAAAAACCCAGCTCTCAAAACAAATCCAAAGAATTATTCACTTAGTTAATTCCAGAGCATTTGAACAACTCAGTTTGCCATGACTAGCTGGAAGAACACTAAGCATAACCAAAAATACTACTTCAGTTGAGAAGGACGAGTAAGTATCGAGTACTGCTGGGCAATGCAGAGTATCAGCTGTAGGGATTTTGCTGGTCTTAAGGCTAAAATATGCATTAAGCCTCATGCAGTTTACTGTTCAGGGTTTGCTTTTTTTAAAGCAAAAGTAAACAAATTGAAAAAACGTAGAGTGGCAAAGAAAATTTACGGGGTTTGTGTGGTGTGGGTTTTTTTTAAGTTTTAAGCAAAACACCATCATCAGGAAATGTGTAAGAGAATGCTTGAAAATATATGTTAAAAGATTTTGTACTGTTGAGTTTTCAACATTTAACAGTTATCCTAAAGCTTAACTTTTCACTCATCACCATCCACTTTCCAACATATCCAGGAAGAAGGAAATGTGTGCTCAGATCATTTCATGCTCTCTCCCTCTCCCATCACATGCTTACACCAGATTAAAGTTCCAATAGTTTACTGCGCAGCAAATAGCAAAGTAATCTAGACAGCTGCTATCAAATGGAGAATTCACTTGCAGAATTGCCTAGAAACCGATTACGGAATAAAACCAACATTACAGCCTCCAAGAACAGCCCCCCTTTTAAAAGAAAAGAAAGCTCATGTTAAAGATATGACTGATTTTATATGAAAAATAATGACTAAAGCAGTTTGGATTAGAAAGCTAATCAAGGTGGTTTTACTCACCTCATTGTACTTCCTTAGGGGTATTTTAACACAGCTTCTACCCATTTCCACATGAACAAACAGGTTGTCTATGGTATGCAAAGTATACTGGTAATTTCTAAGGTCCTGCAACAGACAAAGTTTTTATGTTATCTGACAATTATGTATCATTTCCTTATCTTTTATAACAAATACCACCTAGATAAAAGTACTTTACATACATTTCTAATACTCTTTAGAGTAATGATGTTAAGGGTGACTAAAGACTTGGTGATCATTTTTTTCCTAATGTAATGTGTGTGAAGGGTATCTTAGTGAATATATTAACAAATTAATAGCACTGACATGGTAACTCTGTTTACAAATGGGTTATTTAGACTATAGCTACTTCATACACGTTAGGATGTCACAGTGTTTTAGATAACAAAACACCCCAACACCCTCCTTCTCTGATAGGAAAGCAAAGCATGGAAGCCACCATCTAGATTAGTTTCCACACCCTGTCCTCTACAACTCTAATTTGTTGATTTACATCTTGAATATGTACTGGTTTTTATTCCTTTCTCTGCCAGAAGCAACCTGGTCTAGTGGAAGGTGTCCCTGCCCATGTCAGGGGGACTGCAACTAGATGACCTCTGAGGTCCCTTCCAAACCAAACCATTCCACGATTCTAAGATTCTCTGAAGCCTAAAGGTGCCACATTAGTACTGGCACTTCACCAATCAAGCAGGGAGCTGGCTCATGGAATGAAAATGTAAGATTCCTCCATTGAAACATACTTTTTCAGATGGTGCAACTCCTCTGATACCTTATGTAATGACAGAGACAACAGTGGCAAGAAAGAAAGAGACACCAAAGACTGCAGTTTCATCTCTGCTCTCATGGTCTCTAGACTCTTAGGAGAGGATTCAGTGATCACCTAAATAATACATGCAGTTCCTCCCATAGCCTTACAGATTTTTTCATCATAGCACTGAGAATAGGTTCCATTAAGTATCAGAAGAGGAGGGTCTCTGGTCAGGAGTACAGGCTTACCGGAAGTTTAAATCAAATTATTTGAGTAACAGAAGAAAAGCCTCCACAGGGAATGGCACAAATTCTAGGCTTAAGTCTGATGATGCCAAAAGCTTCTTTGCATAATGCAGTCAGACTGGTTAATTGTGGCAAGATTAAGTTTGTGTGACAAAGTAATTACTATTACAGTTAGACCACAGCACGTGCCTCTCAAATCTTTCTTCACATTTTAAAAATATGCCAGAAAGACTAGAATTCCTGTTCCAAACCAATGTTTGTAAGACAAAAATGCAAATGAACAACGATCACTACACTTCAGTGTCAATGTCAACATTTTTCTAATTCATTTAAAGCCATTTTTACTACCAGAACTAATAAACAGCAACAGAACATGAGAGATGCAGCTTTTCTAACTCACTTCTCACTAACTTGGTAAGTTTCAAGTCAGGTATGAAGAACAAAAATACCAGCCCTTTTACCTTAGCCAAAAATAATTCTGCTTTCAAGAACAGAGTTTTGAGGGTAATTTACACAATCTAAATGACAACAGGAAGGGAAGAGAATAAAACATTTACTCACAACAAGTAGGTTCATAATTGTGTGTCCGATCTCACCAAAGAGTGGCTTCCGGTGCCTGAAACTTACTACAGGAGTAGGATATGCTACAGTCAGGGCAGACAAAAAGAAGAGGTCACGTTAGCCATCAACAATTGTAAAACTTGCTAATCCAAGCATTTATTTTCAGCTTTAGCCCATGCTTCTTAATCTTAGTACCTGATCAGCCAAAGGACCCAGAGCCCCTGCTTCCCTGTCACAGAGTGTTCCCCACCCAAGGTTAAATCCTACTGCAGTGCCATTGCATGGAATCACCCTCCTAGTGGCAGTAATTTTGTGGCAGAAACTCGTTGCTGTTTTCATATGCTTTGTCAGCTATGTTTCTTGCAATTGGTGATCTGGGTAGAAACATCCTGGGTTCAGTCTTTGGGTTACCAGCTGTTGGAGAGGTTGCAAAGGTTCTGTAGTTGCTTGAGTAAGAATACCATACACGTTAACATCTGCTTCTGTGTTAATGCTATAATACAAATTGAAGTACCACTTAGTATTGATAAGCAAGAATAGAGTGAGTGAGGATGTTCATATGAAGTAACATGCTTTGAAGTCCCATGGCTGCAATGGGAAACACATGGAGAAGGAACCTAGGGAGGGCAACGAAATGCAAAAAACCACAGACCACAGTATGAAATCATATGAAAACAAAACAAGTAGCATAGCAAAGTCAAGACTGTGAGATCATGATGCAATTTTTTTTTTAAAAAAAAAAAAAAAAAAAAAAAAAGACAAGTAGTTTGTTAAGAGAAAGAATAACAACAGAGAAGCTACCGCCCTTGCCAATGTGGAGACAGAAACCTGGCCAGCAGAAATGCACTACTGACTCAAGAAATTCATAAATGAGCAAGTGATACATATGTATGGGCTCACAGCTTCTACAATGGCAGGCTTATTTACCAAAACTGCATTCAGGTCAGGAAGGTTGCATATGATACATTTTTGATATTCACTGCACTTAAGCAACTGCTGCTTGTTGCACCTTATCTGAACTCTTGCTCTCTAAATCATAAGCACCACAAGTGCCACAGGAAACAAAAATCATTTATACTGCTAAATTATCTGCCTGTGTTATTCAAGCAAGTACACAAGCTACTTTAGAAGGCATTTAGGACTGCATCTCCTTTCAGGTCTTGCTCAAGCTAGCTTTTTAAGTTCTTCAAGGCCAGGGGAACCTAGATAAATTCCTTCCTTTAGTGAGCCTGGAGCAGTCTCTGTGTGAATCTTGCTGGGAAAGCAGAAAGTGCTCACATCAGCCTGCAACAGACTGTGGAAGGTAATTCCCATGTGGAGGCTGTGACACTGCACAACATCTGGTGGTGCACATTTACATGCTCTCCATCCACCTCACTTGGAAAGAATGCCTCCTGCATTTTCACACGCCTAGAGATTTTGAATGTATTAATTAGCGATTTAACCTTTTAAGTAATGAACACCTGCATTCATTGTATGAAGCAGTAGTTTTTGCCAACATGGTCAATTTCAGTAATTGAATTCAAAGAAACCAATTTTTCAGAATCGTAAACTGGGCCTGTGAACTTTCCTTCAAACTTTTCTCCTATGACAACAGAAGTCATGGACTTTGGTACTTTACTACTGTCAGTTTTGGTTTCTTAACTTTCTTATCAGCTGAAGAAAAAAAATTAAACCAAGGGAGTCTAGCAAGACAATGTAAATTCGAGTGTCTCAATAGCTGGCTTCCATGTATGAAACAGAAGTCTTACACAAGTGTAATACAAAATACTGCAAAGAGGATATTTCACTTGTCTAAAAACGTTGAATTTTCCAAAGGGAATTTTATATTTATACAGGTATTTTAAAGTGTTAAGAAACTTACCCCCGTATTCTGCTCCCAGTCTTAACATTAAACGAATAGGAAAAACTTTTGCCCAGGGTATTTCCAGCTTATGGATGAGAACACCGAAAAGAAAAGGGTGATCTGGTAGAATCTGAGCATCAAGTTTCTGAAAAGTTGGTGAAACAAACAGGAGTCCTCCATGCTCTTTGTTACTGAAAAAGTTTTCAGTAAAAGTAATGTTTTCCATGCTTCTTATTAACCTTCCTGTAGAAACAGGGACAGAATCTTTGCACGTACGGAAAAGTAACACATGAGTATCAAGAAAACCATTCTAACACCCAATGGTCTCCTACAGACTTGCAAGCTGTAGGGTGTATCTCCCATCTTCCTGAAAGTCTGACAGACATCTAAATCTATAGACTGAGTGCTCTGTGTTTACTAACTAAATGAACTTGACTATCAAACCAGGCTTCTCCAAAAAATGCCAAAAATCTTAAAGTGTACAATGTTCTGGCACGCACCATGTGAATTTGATTAAAAGACCTCAAATATTTACATATGCAAGAGTATGGGACTTCTACAAATGAAGTGCCTGATGCCCTAAAACATAGACTTGAGGACTTTCACCCAGAATCTCCAACACAGTATGACTTAAGTAACAACAAAAACCCCTTTCTACAAGCAGAATGTTTACAAAAGTGTATGAAACAGAGAAACTTAATATTCTTTTCTTCCTGTTGTTTATTTAGAACCCAAGGCTAACACTCAAGTTTTTTCAGAATCATTACTTAAAATTCTTCAAAATAAATATAACGTTCTGCTTTAGAGATCAGCACGAAGAGACTATAAAATAGGCGCTAAAATTACATACCTTTCATTGCATCCTTATAGATGTCAATAAATAATCTTAGTATTTCACAAGGAAAAATCTCTTCATCTGGCAAACACTGCAACAGAATGACAATTTCCGCCTGACCCAAACCATGAAGTCCGTTTGTTGCGAAGTACCAGCACTTTTCTGAAGAATCTTTAATTAAGAAGAAAGGTACCACAGTAAAGCTATTTTACAGTCAGAAAAAGAAAGCTGGATTTAATGGAATAGAAAATGTGCACTACTTACAAGTTATTAGCTTAACATTCACAAGCAAGTTTGCATTTAGGATAAAAGTTAACAGATTAGGACCTCCTTCCACAAGAAGCAAGGTGATCTTTTGGCGAGATGGATGTTCTTCCACTAGAGGATCTAAATGAATTAACACCCAATTTAGTTCAACATGTCAACCATCCAAAAAAAGAACTGCAGATCATAGTATATGAAAAAGACTGTCTCCTCCTATCTTAAGAGGGTGGTAATTATTCTCAAACTTATAATAGCTGCAGATCAACTGATGAACAGCTTAGCCTGGGATGCCAGCAACATATAAAAATAAACCAGTGACTTATAATAAAGGTGGAAACTAGGGCTACCATTTTTTTGGCAATTACTGACTAATTGTGCATGCAGTCTCCTTACCCATACTCCAGTAGTTAGTTACCATCAATGAGCAGTCATTACTATAATGCGTTTAAATAATCAAGTATTCTTTTCATAATACGCTGATCTTGTTAATAATGCATGTTCAACTATCGAACAATCCAATGTGCAGCAAATAAATGAATTACTAGAATTGTATTAAAATATAAATGATACACACACAAGTTTGTATTTAGACATCTCGCTAAATTTTCTCATATTTTTACCTTTTCCTTTTTCACCCACTGCAAGCAGAAGCGGTGGCAGTTTATCACCATCAGGAACAAGGCTGATCTCTTTGCGAACACAGTTCTCAACACCACACAGTGCTCTGTAACTTGAAGGACTAACAGGCACATCACTAGTAGTCTGATCAACTGAACTGGAACTAGTCTTCTCAGCTTCTGCAGCAGGAGAACACTCTTCAGTTTCTAAAGTTACAGATGTACGACTCTGTACCAGCTCACTCTGGCCTGGAACGGCCTGCTGTGCATCATCTGAAGAAACAGGACATAATTCCTCCATTTTTGTAGTATCATCGCTTTCTTCCTTCTGTTTTGGATCTACATCAGGTAATATGTCATCTTCCTCTGGGCTTACAGCCTGTGAAGAATAAATCAGTAAATAAAAATATATACACTATTGTCTCACAACAAGCCAAACTTTCATTACTAGCATTCTAAGAAGGAAAAATGGAATGAAATTTATCACAAATTCTGAGAATGCATTTCCTCTAAACAACAAGCAACACACCAAATCTCTCCTGGATCTTCCTTTTTCCTTTCTTCCCCCTCTTTAGGAGCTACCTAAGGTGAAGATGCATCATTAATGTATTTGTTTGGTAACACAAAATTCCTATCAGAGTGCTGCAGACTGGTCATTTTTGCATACACCAGTCAAACGCAAGATAAACAACAGTAAAACAAGTACCCTCGCCCAGGAATCTGGTTAGTATTACTCTTTCTCCACTCAGCTACTGAACACTGTCATCACTAATGATGACCCATTTCAGTTCTGCAAATGTATTTCTATTTCTATAGCATGTGCTAATAGCTGAGTCTAGGATTTTACAGTCTGATTAATTTGTAGTTTGGAGTCAAACCTGTGGTGCTCCCCCAACAAAGTGAACAAGCTATAAGCATAGGCACATTAGGATATGAACTGTCATAAAAAAACCCCAAACCAACCAACCAAAAATATCAGGAGGTGCACTATCAACTTTCAAGTATGTTAGACCTGCATCCTATCTCAAAATAGGGAAGACTTTGCATTGCAACAAGAGGAAAAAACCTAACAATCCTACGCTTGCCCTGTAATAGCTCTCCTGGTATCCCATCAGCTTCCAACAGATCCGCGGTTTAGATGATACACATGCCAGAAAAATAAAATAAGTACATAAAAAAAAAACACAAAACCACATCAACCCCAAAAGTAACTTGGCCTCTAATAGACTTCTTCCCTACGAATTTGCTTGCTGGTGTTTCGTATCACTTTATACTTTTGACCCTCATAGCACCCTCTGGCAGCACATTCAGGATAATTTGTTACCTAGTGAAGTACATCCTTTGTTTTAGAGCTGCAGTACAGTGGTTTTGTTCGAGCTTCTGAAGCTGCATACAAGAACCATCAACAAATTGTTTCCCACTCTCTTTGTCAATGCTGCTTTTAATTTTAGACATTACCCATCTTTTGCAAGACAAAATGTCTTACTTTTTCCCCAAAATGGAAGACAGGCTTTACCTTTTGATTACTGCAACTTACTGCAGATCTTCCTTGTTCAAATGAAGTCACATTTACTATTCTTCATGACTTCAGGCTGATTTACATGCTACACATGTGGAAACTGCTCAGATCCTCAAATAGCAATGATCTGGTCTAGTTGATAGCTTTACTAATTTGTTTTAAAAACTCTTCAATTCTGTTAGAATCACAGAATTTATGTTACAACTTGAGACAGTGTTTCAGAGTTGTTTTATTTTAAAGAGGCTCCATCTGAGGAATCTCTCCATATCTTTCCAGAACAAACTTGTACTACTTTGGACTTTTTTTGTCAAGTGCAACTAGTTCAACACTATGAATATGATCTGCTATAAAAAAGTCAATCCCCCTCTCAGTTCGGCATTAGTTAACATTAGAAGCAATACATAGATTTTGCTGCACCATATAGCGTAGTACTCGAGGGCCATTAAGCAACTTCTGGTTAATGTAACCCAACAGGCAAACTATAGCAAGCCACTGAAAAAGAAACCCCACAAATTTCTACTGTAATCATGTTGTTAATGGCAGGTTTAAGAATTATGGCTGAGGTTACCCTCACAGAAGTAATTAATCACGGGTATGTAGAAAAAACCCCCAAACTTATTTGGAAAATTGTCTGCCATAGCATTTTTAAAGCTCACATATATCTCTGACAAAACATGGTTTCCTTTAAGTATGGCCTACAGATGATTTCAGCCCAAGGACTTCACAGCCACTTCCCAAAAAATAATCAATTAGTTCAGAATCCAAAAGCTATAAAACAAAAGTCATATTATGGTACATAAGGGACCCCATCAATAGCAAGCACAGCTATTTCAACAGTTAATTCATGCACCTACACACACTTCTTAATTCATACCATATGCATCTCTGGCAACTCAGGGTTTACCGGACTTAAGTCCTCTGATGACCTCCTTGCTCCGGATGAAAGTACTGTTGTATCTGCCACTTCACCATTTGGTAAAATCCCATCTGCAAACCAAACTCTCCTCTGTTCTTTGGGGCACAGCCCTAGGACAGGTTAAGAAAAAAACCACTGACTTCATATTACTGTACTGTTCTGAAAGCATAAAAATTAAGCCCCTTTTCCCCCCAAATATACAGAGAATCAGTTTACTGGCACCAGTCCAGGTAGACAGTTTGACATCAGCCAGGCTCCAGTCATGCAAAAAAAAAATCTCATGCAAAAAACTCTCATACTTGTAGAGGAAGCCACGATGCTATAGTTAAATCTACCAATTCCTATGCAAGGAAGTCAACTTCCTCAATCACCCCTCTGTAGTAAGGTAAGAATGAAATGCATATCACAACCAAGATGAAATACTCTCTAAAAATGACTTTATTGCTATGTTTAAAAAAATTATTTTCATTGAAGGTCAGATGTTTAATAAAAGTGAAACAAAGACACTACTTGGCCGCAAATTATTCGTATTTATACCTAAAAAGAATCCCTACTGCTCCCTAGCAAATTTTCCCTTAACAACTACTTTTTGCTTTTACTGCAAGACATTGCAAGCCAGAGATCTTTTAAGCTATACAGAAGTTATGGAAGTAGTATCAACACATACAAGAAAATTACAACATAAACAAAGGATGACTAAAAAAGTAACATCCATGTTAGATAAATGGGGACTTAAAACAGGCTTGATCAAATTCATACATAGCATCAAAACTGGGAAATAAAAGTAACTTTCCAGTGTCCTGAGTTCCTTTTCCTACTCCTAAAAAAAAAAAAAAAAAAAAAAAAAAAAAAAAAATGACACCAAGTACCAAGTATGAATCCATGAAACAACTCTTTCCAAAAAGATCCTGAAAATGTTAGATCTATTACACTATATTTAGCATACCTTCAATACCGGGCTGTTTAAGTACTGGGATAGGTAATGATGTAGAAGGTGAAGGAGAGCTAGCACTACCAGGTATCTGAGCTTCCTCCAAAGGTGGAACAGTAGAACACTCAACAGAAACACTGGAGTTTGGGACAGGACCAGTTGGACTCATCATCCTTTCAAATGCCTGTGCTAAAAGAATGTGGTTAGTTTTTAAGATCTCACAGTTGACTGAATTTTGTTTGCAATGCAGTATTATGGGTGGCTTGGGATTTTTGTTTGTTTGTTTGTTTTTTTTTCTCAAAAGCAGTGCACAATTTGAGAGCTAGTTATGGAAAATGAACACTCAAGCTATTGTACAGAAGGAAATTCTTGATTTTTACCTACACATTTGCCTAATTCATTTCTAACACACAAACAGACCTTCTGGTACATGTTGCTGCTACTGCAATGGCTACATTGAACCATATGATCCCTGTACCTTGGTGCAAATACATATATCACATTTACCAAGTCAAACTATTTACGTGGTATGCTTTCAACTTGTTATTTAAGCATTAATGATCCAGACCTCAATATTTTCTCATGTTTGCACAAGCAACTATGCTTAGCTTTCAGTTAAGAAAAAGTTATGATTCAATTCCTGTAATACTGTTATGACTTGTAAAAATATCAGGACAGAAAGCTACATAAAATGGGCAAATAACAGGTGAGAACAAGCAGGGGTATCGCCTTTAAACACACAGAATGCTACTGTCGTGGGAGGATCACTTTTGCTGGACTCCTGCCACAGATTACCCAACAGCGTAACTTTATGTTTAGGCCTATGGAGTTCAAATCTTTTTTTTTTTTTTTTTAAATAAAAAATAACCAAATTGCTACTCAATTTTTAACGTAAGAACTATAATCCAGCAAAGAGGTACAACTATTCTCTTCCTCCATCTCAGAAAGAGGAAAACATGCACCAATTAAAGTAATTGAGGTTCTTCAAAAAGAAGAAAGGTTGAAGTGACACTAGCTGTACCTATTCTTCTTTAATGATTACTGAAATCACTCAAAAAACTTTTTTACCTTTATTAATGTCATTATAACAGCCAGTACACACTCTTGCTTCCTTCTCCATGTACTGTAGTTTGCATTTTCGTTTGCAACAGGCACCACAAAAAACCTAAACCAGAAAAAGACTGAATTAAATAGTACAGACATAAATCACAGTATTTCCTAAATTAAGTTCCTGTTATTATTTACTCTTTTTATTAAAAAGGACTTCATTATATAAGCATGCACACACATTTTCTGAGGTATGGCAGCATAAAAGGAGCTTTATCATCTGTATCTTACAATACATTTCTGTTTGGGTAGAAGGAAAAGTACAAGCCTAAAAACTCTTTCAGGACACTCAGCTCCGAGGCACCCAACACAAGAGGGACGTGGAGCTGTTGGAGCAAGTCCAGAGGAGGCAATGGAGATGCTGCGAGGGCTGGAGCAGCTCTGATCTGGAGCCAGGCTGAGAGAGCTGGGCTGGTTCAGCCTGGAGAAGAGAAGGCTCCTTAAGGGGAAACCTTAGAGCAGTTCCAGTGCCTAAAGGGGTGACAAGAAATCTGGAGAGGGGCTTTGGACAAGGGCATGTAGGGAGAAGACAAGGGGAAATGGCTTTAACCTGACAGAGGGGAGACTGAGATGAGCTCTTATGCAGAAGTTCTTCCCTGTGAGGGTGGTGAGGCCCTGGCACAGGTTGCCCAGAGGAGCTGTGGCTGCCCCATCCCTGGCAGTGCTCAAGGCCAGGTTGGACACAGGGGCTTGGAGCAACCTGGTCTAGTGGAAGGTGTCCCTGCCCATGGCAGGGGGTTGGAACTGATGAGCTTTAAGGCCCCATCCAACACAAACCAGTCTCGGATTCTATGATTAAGAATCTCAAAAGCTCCACAATTTGGGCCAAACTACAAAGTTTGCTAACTCTGCTTTTGTCAAGGGTTCTTCCTGTCCTGTTCCCCAGAACTGCTCCACAAGCTAGCCATACATCACTGCTGAAATTCGCCTGCTACTTCTTTTGGACCGCAGCAATCCTTAGATGCCTACAAACCAACTTTCCTTCAAACCAAGCGCATCCATATTACATAGCCATGCACCCAGCTCTTGACAACACTCTCTGATTCAGCTGTGAAATACAGCAGAATCTGAAGTTTCTTGGTGTGAGTGGATCTAATCACATAAGGCCATGTGCCCACAAAATAGCTAAAAATGGGTATTTTTTTTCCTTTAGATCATAGCTGGAAGCAGCTGGTATACAATTGCAAAGCAATTAGAAAACTTTCAAGAAATACACTCATTTGATTCTAAATCCTCTGCAGTCTTATATTCCATCTTTTCTCTTAATTTCTCATGAAGAAACTTTAAAAAAACAAACCCAATAAACAAACTAAACCCCACAATATGTACACAACAAAGAGCTGCAACAAGGATGACACAAGTGATATTGAATGTATGTTCTTATTTAGAATGATGAAAAGAATTCCAGGGTGCACCACCTATTCCAAAATTCACTCCTACTTCTGTTAATCCTGTAACTATTTTACTTGAAACAACAGTGACAGGAAGATGGACTGAACCCCAGAATTGGGTCAGATTTGCTTTACTGCTTTAGTATTATCTCTGAAGATAGCTGTTGAAATCTCTCATTAGGGTTCAGATACGGGTTAAAACGATCTAGTCTCATACCAGTGAAGATCCGTTCTTTATTCACTGATCTTGCAATCTCTCCATAAAAGCATTACCAGTTTGTCATGAAATTCTTCTACCTTACAGACAACTGTCTAATCCAGAGCTCACTGCATTGCAATCTATTTACTAACTCTGGTTCAGGAACTATGTTGGCTAAGTAGGCTCCTCAGCTTTGTCAGAAAGAATAAGCATAGTTGCCTTCATGTTATTCACTCCCTTCAAAGCATTTTAAAAGCTTGCTGAAGATTGATCTGAAAGAACAGAATATGCTCTTCTACTCCAACAGGATATATACCCTGGTTTTAAGTAGAAATGGGGGAAAAATTGCCTCTCTTTAGCCAGTACTACACCTGCACAATCCCATTCAAAGAATTATGCCTTTCATGAAACTGCTTTCTGCAAGAATTCCCATAATATCTGATGGTTTTCTCACTTTTCCTGTATGTTCTTTCAGGGTGATTTGCAGGTCTTTAAGGAGTCCTGACACTTTGAGCTGTATGCAGACTTGAGTCAGATTTAGCCTTTACAAAAGGGATCTTTCGAAACCCTGTTCTGACAGAAGCCTTCTACCACTGACCAGTTAAGCAGGTGGAAAGAACACTTAAAAGTCTCATGCTACTCCTAATTATCTTAAGGACAACAAAGTGGATTAAGGGGAAAAAAACACCAAAAACCCAAAGCCAAAACCAACCAAACAGTAGTGACGGTTGAAATAAAATTATTACAAGTGAACTCCTTCAAGTAGGGGAAGTCACTATAAGAACAGTAATATGTGATCAGTGTAGTATGAGAAAGAAACTATTCCAATTGCTTCTGCATTAGTGTTACAGTGTTACTCAACTGAAAATGTACATGCTCAGTAAATATCTCAAGAATGTAAATTGTGAAGATTAATTGCTAAGCAGTTACAATCCACCTTAGGGCTTAACCCTAATGCAAAGGAAACAAGAAGTGAAGACAAACTAAAGGGACAGGTAATGTAATGGAGGAAAATGAGATGCAGATGAAGCTGCTGAGCAAAGAAACTGATTCTGGTAGGAAGAGGAAGGGTACCACAAGAAGAGATAAACACCTCAACAAACTGTGAAGTTGTCTCACCTCACAAGTACTCCAGATGGGAAAGAAAGGAATTCACAAGTGTTGCCATTTTCATTGATAGAAAAAGCTGCAGGATCATGTGAAAACTACACAGTTGTCTTCCAGAATAGTCCACAAAGGATGATGGTGAATTCTTACCTGTTTCTCCTTATGTCCAAGTGATTGAAAACACAACAACCCACAGCAGGTCCACAAGGAATGTTTTAGGTTTTGGTTTTTTGTTGTTTAAGACAAAAAGTTACTACTAAAGAGACACAAAGTCTTACAAGACAGAAAGTTAACCTATTGCACATTCAGAAAAGCTATGGCAACTACAACTGCATGGCACTCCAGCATCCATAAAGTTCAGATAACCCATACTGCCTTCATTCATTCTCCCAATGAACATGCATGGTGATGCTCCCTCTAATCAAACTATTCTTCTGTCAAAACCCCCTCTGTCAACACACAAGATCAACACCAGTAACAGCTGATGGCTCTAAACAGGACTGCGCAATGGGGTGCTTTTATCCCCATCTCTAGACAAGGTGCAAGATTTCCCAGCAATTGCAAAAAGGAATTTCAAGATAGTTTTATCACTAAAATGAAACCCACTGAAGAACTGTGTTTTAAACTGTTACAAAGCTTCAATAGGATTTGCTGCCAAATGATTAAGTTCAATGACTATTAGGCTACCACAATGACAAATTCTTCATTTTCTTAGCACACAAATTCAGACCTACATTTTAGTTCACTATGCTTTGAATACACACTGCTAGAAGAGGCATCCAAGGAAGAAACAGCCAACCCTCTCAACACTGGGGATGCAAAAAGCTACTAAGTACTGATATTAGTCTTTACTTTATATCCTTATCCATAAAGCTTACTTTATAGATATAGGAAAACTGAAAAATAAGTTCACTAGTATTGTTAGTATTTCCATTTATGCACTAGCACAAGCATAAACCACAGCAGCTAACAATGGAATTCTGGATTAAGAATAAGCTTTGGTGTTATCCACTCACTGCAAAAGACCACAGGCTGAAAAAAGTTCTACAGATTACTTGCTGAGTTGGTGAGTACCATTCATGCCACCAAAGTAGCACACTTTTCGCCAAGATGACTCCCCCAGAAAACTGCACTTCTAAACACAGGGGAGGACAGATTTAGGCTGTAAATCCTTTGACTTGGTACTGCTGTTACAGCTCCTGAAAGAATGCAATCTTTCCAGACTCATGGACAATGTTTTACAGCTGGTATAACCACTCACCCAAATTCAAATTGTCATCGTCACCACGTCATTTTTTTTAAGCTTAAATACTTAAGCTTCACTTAAAAGCTGAGTAAAAAGCCAATTCACTATGACTACTAAGTAGTCCACTGTCTCACCTTCCTTATTCTACGCAAAAGATATCTATCTAGTCAGGAACGGAAGATACAATAAGAACATTATCTGTACTTCCCTTTAATTACTTTTTAAGTAAAGTCATGCATTTACTAATTATCAGTCTTTTCCAACAGTCTTTAAGTTTCTATGAAGAAATATATATATACATAATTTTTAAATACTTTTAGCCTAGAAAACAATCTGTCAATATTCTTCCCCTTCTCTACTTTGGTTATTCCTAAATCAGAATTAATTTGCTTTCAGTATCACAGGGCCCCTCTCCAGTAACTCACCTTTCCACATGCACGACAGTGGTGCCGTCTTTTTGTAAAGGTGAACTTGACTTGGCAGTTCATGCAGTTGGGCGCCTCTGAATCAGGAACCCACAATGGCTGTTTCCAGGACAGAATTGCAGGTATTTTAAGCGATTTCACATTTTCAGATGTTTGATTTCCTCCAGCTTCAGAGCTGCTTTCCCCAGAGTGCGCAGGGTAAGGATTTTTACCAACCTGTACGCTGGTGCCCGAGAGAGGAGCTTCTGGGATAACAGAACTGGCCTCCTGATTCTCCCTCTCAAGTACATCTGTTCTTCTCTGTTGTCTTTGACCAACAGCTCTGTGGGAAAGGCCAAGCAACTGCTTTGGTCTTGCACCTTCAGTACAAACACTAGGAACTGATGCTTCACGACTGCTCTCAATCATGTCCCGACTACTGGACATACTCTCTTCTGTTACAGATTCCGATTCACTGGCAGTAAGAGATACTTCAAGATTATCACTAATGCTTGTTATATCCTCCAGTTTTGCTTGCATGTGTTCTTCAGTGAGCTCTGTGAAATCCAGGTTGTTCACATTTATTAAATTCCTTTCATCTGCATCAGCTCCCATTAAGTTACTATCATCATCTGAAGACTTCAACACACTGGATTGAAGACTTTGTCCATACAAGAAATCATCAAGCTCAGCATCGCTTATTAGAGTATCACTTTTAATAACATTCTCCTCCACAGTAAAGTCAGACATAACTGGGCTCATACTTTCATTGTAATAAGAGTCTATACCACCAGCATATAGCTCTGCTTCATACTCTAGGCAGGCAGAAGCAAAAGCTTCGATTTGCTGAGAATCACTGTCATCAATTACATTTTCATTACTACAACTCTCTTCACTTATACTTTTTTCCACAATACTTTCATGGATTTTACCTACATATACTTCTGGTTCCTTCAAGTCAGTGTTTTCACAAGATTCCGTATCAGAGATATCAGTTTTAGACATTCCAGCATGAACAGCTGAAGTATCACTAATACCCTCTGCCACATTTTGAGGTAACGGAGTAACTTTTTCGTCCGTTACAACTAGAGAACCACATACAGATATAGGAAGTGAAAAACACGACCGTGGGGTCTGTATGTCCTCAACTGAAATACATGGAGTTGAAACACTGTTTAGTATTTCATTGCTATTAAGTTCTTCTGTACCTACATTCTCCTCTGTGATTTTCTTTTCCAGTTCTACTTTAGCTCCTGTTCCAAATGAGGAGCCTTGTAAAACACCATTTACAGGTAATGCTGCATGGCTTTTGTGCCACTGAGGCCTCCCTGGCAGATCTGAAGGCATGGATTCAACACTGTTCTCATCTTTTGAATCTACCTTTTCTATAGCATCTCTTCCATTCATCTCTTTGCTTGCTGCAGAACCTGCACTTTCATCTTGCAGTTCACAACGCAATTTTTCATACGCTTTCTCATCTTCAGGACTGTACACATCTGATTCCTGTAATGTTACACATGCAGTACTAAGGCAAGCAGTTTGTACAAGCTGCTCAAATACTTCACTGCACTTTACATCTTCTGTCCTATGTTGATCATCACATGGAATTGAGATCTTTCCTGTAGCATAACTGTCTGATTTTAAAGCTAAATGATTAATCTCCTCCTTTTTAAGATGTCCCAAATCTTGTAGTGTTGAGCTCCCATCACTCTGCTCTGTACTTGAAACACTGCTGCCACCAGCTGATGACACACAAGTAGGAACAGGTATGCAAGATACTCCAAAGCCAATCAAGCCTTCACTGTCCTGCAAGTCATCTGGCTGCAACTTTTGAGTATCTTCCTGAGCAGCCACTGAGTGGATTAAGTTACCTGTGTCATTAACGAGATCGCACACAGGTACACTGCAACTTCCTAGGTTTGAAGCCTGAATTTCATTTAAGGAACTGCTGTCCACAGTAGACAAAAGATCAGGTCCAGAAACATTCTGTTGCTCATTTTGTGATGAGTAACTTGGAAGCACTTCATGTGCTCCAAGGTGACTAGCTAGAGAGATCTCTTCTGATGAAGTACAACTGTTAGCATCCTCTTGCAGTTTTGGTGTTGGGTATGTATGTTGTAAGCAATCCAGAACTGAAGAAAGCGAATGGTGTTTTGAGTCATATGGATTTTGGGGTGTTCTGTAGCAGTCATACTCATCTATTTCAAGCAAAAAGAAATAAAAAACAAAGTTTGTAAAACTCCTTTCTCTCAAAGCATATTCTCTCTATATCCCATCTTTTGATTAATACAATCTTTTACTTGGCACAGGGTAGTTTCAAATTCCATGGTTACAGTCATTTGACCAAAATAGTTATACTGGAGAACAAGGTAGTGCAGGAACTAACCTGTATTCTGTTCAAATTCATCAAGTAGTTTGTCCAAGTCACAAACTGCAGCTTTAAAGTAACTGTCCATTCTAGACACAGTTCTAGTGAAGCTTTAGCCTTCTTAAACCTAAAAAGAGAAATACAGTCTTTCATCCACAACAGTTTGCTGTTTACAAAGCATTATTATTGGAAGACAACTTCTATGAAGTATTTTTTTTCCCTTTTTAATAACATTTTCATCTCTCTCCATGTGAATAAAATGCAAGTATAAACAGGGCTGCAGGCTGTCAGCCTCTCTGTGCTCAGAATATACTCTACACTACACTATGCACAATACACTCAAAAATTCACCTTAAATCAGGAAATTGAGGCTGTCTTATTAGAGCAAAATGCAGCTGAATATACATACTATGGCATTACAGTCAGATAAAGTCTGATACCAGAAGAGATACTAGGATTTTCTAGTTTGACCCACAATGCTTTATCCAACAGAGTTGACATGCAAACCCCCAAAAGAGGCCATTATCACCCTTGAAGCACAAATGAACTGTTTAAATAACTGATGCCTACATAATCTCAGACACTTCTTAATTAAGCTGGCAAATGAAGTTGCTAAGCCACTGTCCATCATATTTGAAAAATCATGGCAGTCAGGTGAAGTTCCCAATGACTGGAAAAAGGGAAAATATAACTCCCATTTTCAAGAAGGAGAAAATGGAAGACCTGGGGAACTACAGACCAGTCAGTCTCAGCTCTGTGCCTGGCAGGATCTTGGAGAGATTCTCCTGGAAAGCATGCTAAGGCACATGAAAAAGAGCGACGTGGTTGGTGACAGCCACCATGGCTTCACTAAGGGGAAATCCTGTCTGACCAATTTGGTGGCCTTCTATGGTGGGGCTACAGAACTGATGGACAGCAGCAGAGCAGTTGACGTCGTCTACCTGGACTTGTGCAAAGTGTTTGACATTGTCCCACACTACATCCTAAACTGTTTCTAAATTGGAGAGACATCAATTTGATAGATGGACCACTCAGTGGATAAAGAACTGGCTGGATGGCTGCACGCAAACAGTTGTGCTCAACTGCTCATTGTCCAGTTGGTGACTAGTAACAAGTGGTGTCCCTCAGGGATCGGTGTTGGGACCTGTGTTGTTCAACATCTTTGTCGGTGACATGGACATTGGGATTGATGCGCCCTCAGCAAGTTTGCTGGCAACACCAAGCTGTGTGGCTCGGTTGATACTCTAGAGGGAAGGGATGCCATCCAGAGGGACCTTGACACGCTTAACAGGTGGGCCAGTACTGATCTCATCAAGTTCAACCAAGCCAAGTTCAACCAAGTCCTACACCTGGGTCGGGGCAATTCCAGGCACAGCTACAGGTTGGGTGGAGAAGAGATTCACACCAGCCCTCTGAAGAAGGAGTGTGGGCTGTTGGTTGATGAGAAACTGAACATGAGCTGGCTTCAGTGTGCGCTTGCAGCCCAGAAACCAACCGTGCACTGGGCTGCATCAAAAGAAGTGTGACCAGCAGGTCAAAGGAGGTGATCCTGTTCCTCTACTCTGCTCTCGTGAGACCTCACTTGGAGTATTGTGTGCAGTTCTGGTGTCCCCAACATAAGAAGGACATGGAGCTGTTGGAGCAAGTCCAGAGGAGGGCCATGAGGATGATAAGGGGGCTGGAGCACTTCATGTATGAAGACAGGCTGAGAAAGTTGGGGCTGTTCAGCCTGGAGAAGAGAAGCTGCGTGGAGACCTCAGAGCAGCCTTCCAGTATCTGAAGGCGGCCTACAAAGATGCTGGAGAAGGACTCTTCATTAGGGACTGTAGTGGTAGGACAATGGGTAATGGGTTCAAACTTAAACAGGGGATGTTTAGGTTAGATATAAGGAAGAAATTCTTTACAGTGAGGGTGGTGAGGCACTGGAATGGGTTGCCCAAGTAATCTGTGAATGCTCCAACCCTGGCGGTGTTCAAGGCCAGGCTGGACAGAGCGTTGGGTGACATGGTTTAGTGCAAGATGTCCCTGCCCATGGCATGGGTGTTGGAACTACATGATCTTAAGGTCCTTTCCAACCCTAACTATTCTATGATTCTATGATTCCATGCTTTAAACTGCAACAGGAAGCACAAAATGTATCTTTCAGTTCGACACTGAGCATAGGAATGTAAAGTTCTCTTAGTTCACAACCTATCTAAACAACCTCCATTTACTCTCAGTTATGACCAAATATTTCATGATAAGATGAAACACAGGCTAAAATCTAAAATACAACAACTATACAACAACTATAAAGCAGATAACCAGCTGAAGTATGAGACAGTTGTCTTACACAGAGCTGCAGTGTGTTTAAGTGGGTTGAGGCCAGTACTCCTCCCCCACAATGATCAGTGAGCTGCCTTTAAATCTTCTCCTATCTTCCTTCAAGGCCAGGGAAAGAAAAAGATATTCAGATTGATAATTAAGCTCATTATTATACACAAAACCCATTACAGTTCTGAGTCACAAACAAAATAATAATAATTAAAACACCCTCTTTTTAAAGACTTACCAACTCCTCAGAAAGCTATTTACTTATATGAAGATTTCCAGTCACCTAACGGTATGCCTTTTTGGTCACTCTGAATTGTTTTTCTAATTCTCCCTCTTTTTCACATCTTAACACCCATATTGTGCAATTTGCCATTACCTATAACGCATAATGAAGATGTCATTTACACTTCCCTTAATTAAACTGAAGGGACTCAGATCCCTTTATTCTCTTCTCTGAAGGTCTGTCTAGTTTTCCTGCTCATCAGTGCTCTTAGTCTCTGCATTGGCTGACTTCACACTCTACCCCATTCAATATACTCTGACCACCTAGAACTGTTTCTTCTCAAAGCTTAGAGCCCAAAGAAATACTTAAATCCTCTCATACCTCTTATGCCACCCTGTAGCTACAGATCCAGATTCTATGCCTTACTTCCTCCACTGAGGTGTAAGGTCTCTCACTGAATGGTTCAGATGAGGTGCATTCACTTACTAACCTATTAATATGCATGTAATAAGAATACTTGAAGCTAACATAGAATCATAGTTCAAAAAGAGACTTTCAGAGGGTAAGAAAGATGAAACAACGAGTATGCATCACCACGTAATGCAGCACTATGTGACCTTATATAAGCAAAAAATAACCAATATACTACTGTATTGATCTCCACGGCCACAAGTTAGTCACTCCAAAGGTCTTCAGCATGCTGCACCATAAGTCATCTTACACAGCTGTCTAATGAGCAAACAGCAGCAAGTACGTACTTGATGCCATTTCTCTTACACTCACTTGAATATGGTTCTTGCTTGTAAAATAATCTCATTTCATGACCTCCTGAAAGTGAGAGATTATAATTTGAAACAGAAGTTATTTTAACTAAAAGCCTACAAGCTTCTGGTGATTCATTAAGAGACATTAGAGAACAGATCCCATCCTTATGCATTTACTTATAGACAGTAACAAAACTGACAGTAAAAAGTTAGTCAAACAGACCACAAAAAACTTGATACTGAAGAATATGAATATGAGAAACCTAGGTATCGAGAAATATATAATGCTGATTTTTATCCCTTCTAGGTATTCCCCTATGGAGACAGGCTGAGAGAGCTGGGCTTGTTCAGCCTGGAGAAGAGAAAGCTCTGGGAGACCCTCCAGCAGCTTCCAGTGCCTGAAGGAAGTACAAGAAAGCTCGAGGGGGCTCTGGACAATGGCTTGTAGGGACAGGACAAGGGAGGAGACACGTTTCTCAATGACACCAGAAACTTTCATAGAAAACCAAACCAAAACAAGAAAACTTTCATATTTCAGAAAATATACTGAGGAAAGTAACCATTTCGTTTATCTTTTTCTGACACTTAAGATGACCTAGAGATTATCCATTATTTTGCACTCTTAAATGGCACAAGACAAATTATGAATTAAGCATATATGCATTATTACATTGTAATGCTGAACAGGTAGCTTAGAAGGATGAATTTGCACTGTACACTGATAGCTCTTTGCCTTCTCTGAAAATGAAAGAACTCAATGCAAAGAACTGTAGAACTGAAATCATATGCAAATATTCACATATATTTAATACAGACTAAATCAGTTCTACAGAGAGCTCAGAAAAGTACCACAATACCTCAGTCTATTGAGCCAATAATGTTGTGACAAATTCTACAGTTTTTGAAATAAAATAGTTCCATTTGAATTAATAAAGCATCTTAAACAACTAACATGACTTTGAACAACTATGATATTCCTGTAATTTCACTACTCTTTTCTTGAAGTGTTTTACAGGTTTTCAGCTTTTCCAAGAAAAAAAAAAAGCTAAACAAAAGACCCCAATAAACACCTCAAAACACAACAAAATCACCCTCACCCCCAACAGGTGATAAGCAGTAGTTCCCTATCTTTCTTGTACCTTTCTGTCCAGAATCCATGTATCTGCATCACCAAAGAACTGTAAAAGCCTCCTGGTTTCTTATGTGGTTTCAAATCCTCTTTCAGCAGCAAGACCAAGATTTGTTTTTTGCTCCCTAGATTTCCCTACCGCCAATCCAAATATTTACATTAAACAAGGAGTGGGTTAGAAGCTATGAAAAAGCTCTAGTGATATGTTTTTATTAAATGGTTGGTTGTTACCCTGACCAAAAGAAGTCTGTAGGATCCATTTGTTTTAGCAAACTGCATTTGTTCTGAATATATTATTTTAAGAATTATACTTCTAACAATCTGAAACCAGCAGCATCACCACTGTGGTTTTTTTTAAGTAGGTAGAAATTTCAGTAGAAGAAACATCCACTATTCCCTATACCCCCAATTCTATAAAACCATAAAAAAAGAGCAAAGGACTGAGATAAGAGAAGGAAATTATTGCTCTGTATGGGCAAGAGGAAGGGTGCTGGGGGTGGAAGAGGCGACCAGAGCTGCAGAAGTCTCCACTGAAGGTTTTAGATGAACTGTTTTGTAAACAGCTTGTCCCTCTACTGTTCCTTACATTGCAGGAGTTAACACCTGCTCAGTGACTCTGCACAGAGCAAGAACTGACCTGGGTTTAATAGAGCTTTTCC